ATGTAGGGAATACATAATTTTGTTTAATCTCAGACATAAGTCTCAGTTACTAAGTAAAAACTCAATCAAGTGTGATGGTGGGGAACTATTGATATTTTTGAAACCTAATACTGTACCTTAATTTTCTACCTTTACAACACCTTGTCTAGTTGACATGTCAACCATGACCCAGGAGCTGGGGGTGTTCTATTGTGTGTGATGAGGAACCATACAGTTTTGAGGAGCAAGTATTGGTCAGGTGGTGACAACTGGGATTAATGCACCAATAGCTTTATACAGCTACTGATTAATAGAATAAATTACCTTTTAAATGTTCAGAATGCACAATCTATATACACATTCAAAAAACTCAAAGAACCATTATATATCTGAACTTCACAATACAATACAGTTCAATTTTGATGATTTTTTTAATCTTTTTTTACAAAATTGATTTTGCCTATGTAGTATTTAAAATTTATTTATTGTATTGCTTCCATATTTATTGTAATATTATTATTCTAGTATTTTAGTATTCTCATTAAGGAACCACAGTGGAAATAAGTTGTTTTTCGTATTTTTTTTTTTATCGTTGAATGTATTTACTATTGATTACTTTCAGAATGAATAACTAAAATGTAAAAAAAATTCATTGTTCAGTGTTATTCATATTTACTTTATTCTTGATTTTGTTTTGTTGGGTTTTTTTTTTATTTTAGCATTTTGCACTGTATTTAATTATGGGGCAATAAGAATTATAATTCAACAAGTAATGGCATTGATAAGACATTTTGAATAATTTATTTTCCATATTCACAAAATATTGTATTATTCACATGATTTTGAAAACTTTGGTCATTATTTTGAGTTGGTACTACTTTATGTGTCCAGTTATAGCATTTACAACCTGAGTGCTTTCTGGGGAACTCTATACAATTCTTGGAGTGCTTAGCTATAAATATGAGATGGGAGGGCCATCATAAATATCCGCCAACGTCCAAGTCAGCCATGGTGAGGTGATCGGCCTGCTGTGATCGTTTTCTAATAACAAACCACGAAAACATGTGTTTTGAACAAACACATCATATACTTGTTTACACTACGCTAATGGCCCAGGCCTTTATTAAATTTCTTTTTGAATTTCAATTAAATATTATTCCGGCTTTAAGTCTTGACTCAGAAATACCGTAATAGTGTCCGGTGGGAGTTGATAGTTTGATTATAGATAAATTTATTAAAATACGATGTATACAGATATTACCTTAGTTAATATTTCTGCCAGAAACACTAGAATGATTTCTAGTTTTAGATAAGACTCTCAATTCATTACCTCGAAGAAAAAGGGGAAAAAATACATAAGGTTCGGGCCCAGGGATGATGTTTCTGCGTAAATATATTTACCACGAAGTTCTTCAGTAAAAGAGAAATATTAATTTTTAATTGCATATCACTAGCCTAGTCGGCCAATATATACGTCAGGGCCCCGATTGTACACTTGAACCAGGACCTCTTAGAACAAGTTACGCTACTGAATATAAAATAATAAAAATAATAAAAATAATAATAATAATAATAATAATAACAACAACAACAACAACAACAACAACAACAGCAGCAGCAGCAGCAGCAGTAGTAGTAGTTGGATTTGTATAGCGCATCATGCGAAAAATCCTCTATGCGCTTGGTGATTGAGCTCTTTGAGTTCGACATTTTGAAAAAAAAGTTGATGCTATTTTATGAAACTAAAAAACCTACTCTTACTACTACTACCTTTTACTGTTAAGACTAACACCGTCCACCACAATATTCCATAAAATCATTTGATTAATTATTTAGATGTCAGTAATACTTACCTGACACAACAGGGCTGATGATTACCAATGAATTAACTGCGAAAACGATACTCAACATTTCCAACATTGCAGGCGGTTTTGTATTTAAAACTACGAATTTTGGCTTTGATGTTTGATTTTATAGAGTTAATGACGTTTAAAGTGGAAAACCCATTGACTTTTATTAATTATTTGATTTAAAGTAATCGATATTTCTGTTTCCGTTGGATATAAGCACACAATGATGACTGAAGTAAATTAAAGTTTAATGTTTATTTCCACAATTCAAGGCCTAGAGGACAATACAAAGGTATAACAAAATAGTCAAATGATTCAATTTGATTTGTGGAGCAGGCAATATACGCTTATATTAGCCTGGCATAATTAGCTTTAAGCCATATCTCTTTACATAAATGGTTTGCACTTCATTATTTATATTTTAAAAGCACCAACATTTAACTGCCTGGGGCAACATTGCAAGATTTTCCTAACGACTTTAACTGCTAAAACTAGTTGATTTTACAAAATAAAAATTAAATACATTATCAATTGTAAAAGGGATGGCGCTGTGTATGTTAGAAAATAGCATGTTTCACAATTATCATCTGACCCCCAGTTTACTATGAATTAACAAGATAGGAATTCAGGTCAGTTTGACGAGTTCCAGATTTCCGACAGTTGACATAACAATTTCTCTTCGGCGTTATTTAAGAAAAAAATAACCTAGCATATGAAACCACACTCTGTTTTATTCTCTTCAATCATTGGTATAAGCCTATTGTAGTTGTCTATGATAATACATACAATGGTTTACTGTCGCTAATAAGGTTTATATTGGTTAGCACACACCCGTTACAAACACAGTGTCTTACAGCAATTTTACAAACAGCGGTTCAAGATGAAAAGTAATTTTAAAAAATTAACAAAGTCAAAATAGAGCTGATTAGTTAATAATAAATAGTTATTCATAAACTTGCAAAATAAGAAAAACAAGAAAATAATAACTCACGTTGCCTGGGTCTCAAACAGCGAATCTGTTCAAATAATCTGTCCAAAACGCTAATTTTCTACTACCAGCAATGTAAATTATGTTTGCCAGCTGTTAACCTCTATTGTTTGTACAGTGTTTGCTTAGCATACGATATCATAAGTTAGCATAGGGGATCTGTACGTAAAGCTGGTTTTCCACTAGGCGAATTTATTCGCGCGAATCAAAGCGTTGGTTCGCTTCCTGAGCTTTGATTGGTTGCGCATTTTTTGGCTTCGCAAAAAATCCGACAGGAATGTGAACGCGCATGAGCATGAACCGACGCTTTCGATTCGCGCGAATAAATTCGCCAAGTGGAAAACCAGCTTAAAGCTTGTTTTCCATTAGGCAAACTTATTTGCGCGAATCAAAGCGTGGGTTCGCTTCCGGAGCTCTGATTGGTTGCGCATTTTTTCGCTTCGCAAAACTCGGATATAAATGTTAATGCGCATGCGCATAAGCCGACGCTTTCGGTTCTCGCGAATAAATTCGCCTAGTGGAAAACAGTCTTAACAGGTATGATATTCGCCTAAGATGCAGGATAGAATCCCGCCAAATAAACTTTTTTTTTCATACAACTGAATATCAGAAACGTGTTTTTTTTTTAAGGAATGCACATGCTACGATTAAACATCTTGTTCCTATTCGAGCACTTTATTTATATATTGTATATTTGGTGATATATGGTTGGCTTGATCTTTGACAGAAATATTGATCAATCAATTTCTCAATATTCTAAGAATCTCGACAAAATGAATCGAGTGATTATATTGACTAAAATAGTTTAAGTACAATTCTAAAAATCTTAGTTTTAAAATTAAAATTTAAGTCTAGAGGAAGCTAATACCATTTAGGCCCTAAGTAATAATGGTTTTATGTGGCAAATTTATTATAGCCAATAATAAGTCGAGCAGATGAGTTATGGACACATGAAGTTAATTAGGCCGGTAGGCCATAAAGACTTATGCAATATTCTAGGCGGCTGAAAAAAAATGAATGCGTGAAACAATTTTCAGAAACAATTTTTAAACAGGCGCCGAAAGAGAGCCAGTATATCGCCAAGGCATCAGCAGGGAACCACGGAAATGTGTGAGGGACCAGCAACACAAAAATGTGTCTTTGGCAATTAATATTTTAATTAAATTTTGTTGAATTTTTAAAGATATACTTACATGTCACAAATTGAGAAAATAATATGATTACTGACTAATATATAGTGTATTAGTAGGCCTGGTCACATATTAGATTCTGATAGGCCATTATGAAATAGTTCTCTAGTAGACACTAAATAAATTTAGATTGGCAAATTTGATATAGTTTGATGATAGTACTAATCTACTAAGATCTACTAAAAATTAATCATGACGTCATCACTGCAACTCACAAACTTTCTATCACCAACCGTGCACTTTTTGCTCCAATTTTTATGCTGTTTTGTAAATTGATGTCCAATTTTAATCATGTATTACATGTTTCTTTTCATGCCAAAATAAAGAAATCAAAAATAGATGGCCGGAAAATAATATACAGTCGATGTCCGACACATTATAATCTTATGTATCAAACAACGCCTTGTCGTGTCAGTATGCTAGATCGATGACCTATGAGTAGGACCCATTCAGGGCCCGTGGTGATCGAGGGGCCTGTGGACCGCCGCACGAGAGCACATGCGTTACGCCACTGTGGCTTTAGACTAATTTATTTTTTGTTAATTGGGTAATGAATTAACTTATTTTAAGTGAAATACTGTAAATTGTTTTTTTTAATCAAAGGGTACCAATCTAAAGAAAGAATAAAGAATCAAACGCAAGTCTACGACGCTATGGCAATCAGATGACATATCTCTCAAGGCTAATTTATTATTAGGCACAAAAGGCTGAGTGAAAACAGATAAGTTATTGATTCCAAGTGCTTGATTAAGAAGATACTTTTATATAAAATACCGGTATATTTGATAGAAAGTTACCGAATTAAAGACTTAAATATTTTAACTCCTTCGTATTTAAATTTTGTATACACCCATGGAATCTTAATGAACATTCAAATATATTTTAAAAATCTCTTTCTTATTCACTTATAAATTATAACTATATTTTAATTAGAGTTTTTGTAACACTCCAATTATAAGCACATCTTTTTATTTGCTATTCTGAAAATAAAACAAACTGTAGCGCATACAATAATAATAATAATTAAGGGGTAGGCCTTTGCGCCGAACATTCAATAACGACTACTGTCGGATTTAAACTAACAGTAAATGTAAAATAGTAATAGATCGATTTTATATTGGACCTTAATGGAAATAAACATTTTTAGGCTTTATTGGGTTATCCTGGAAAATCCTTTTCTATTTTTTTTTATTTATTTTCTACTTGGCCTAAATTATTTTCTTTCCTTTACCAATGTTTGATGTAAGTGTTTGTGCAATGATTTTCCGAATAAACTCAAATAAAATCAGTTATATCATATAATTATACTTATTCTTATTTTTATTTATGATTTCAATGATGATTATGAATATGAAGAAGATGATGATGATGATGACGATGATGATGATGATGATGATGATGATGATGATGATGATGATGATGATGATGATGATGATGATGATGAAGAGGCATACCAACCAGAACGAAAATAGTATCAATACTAAATGATTTTCGAAGATTACTTTCTGCCCAGTCCTTCATACGTTGTTATCATGCAAGTGCAATTGGCGCAACGGTAAAAATTAAACCTTTTTTATGTTGACCAGCTTTATACGTACAGTAATGATTAAAAAATAATAAATTATTCAATAATATTAATAAATACTTTATACAATGGCATTATTAGTTACAATTTCAACCACAATGATCATATAATAATTATAATAAGTATCAGTATAGCGGTAGGTCGATGTTATGTGATCATCTTTAACTTGCCAATGCCTTCACTCACAAACAATGAAAACGACAATCAACAACAGCGGAAAAAGAAACCTATAGAAACACAGAGCCACACAAGTTGAACAAGCTGTGTGAAGTTCACGATATTGTTTATAATTTTAGATAATTAAGTTGAGCGCCCTCAGTTTTTAAATTGTAGTGTTTCCCGCTGTTCCATGAAAACAGCTGTCTCTTATACACATCTAGATGTGTATAAGAGACAGCCTATGACCCTATTAAGGAGGGGCCTAGGTAAGATCTCAGCCTGTTAGGCCTCTTTCTCTCTAGCCTTCGGTGTTACTGTACCTTACTACACTTTATAACAAGAGGTACTAGCTGTTGTTGTTGTAGATAATATACTAACATTTAATAACATCCAAGAAGATCACAGTTAGTTACACACGTACATCCCATAGATCCGTGAGATTTCATGGACCTACCGTAGGTAAACATAGAAAGAGGAATACAGTAATAGTAAAACTCGAGCGTCACGACATTGCGAAGTGTCTGATCTTGTTCCTCGTATCGTACTCACTCGAGTCAATCCGAGATGGCCCGAGTGAAGTTTCATGTAAAGGTTTCGTACGGGAAAAAAAATCGCTTCACGCTGTTCCATGAAAACAGACCGGAGCCATGTTTGAATACGCCTTTTCAACTCGAAAGTCCTATGCTACTGCACTGTAATGCATTGGCCTATTTTAATACACTACTAAGATAGGCTTTTCTTTTTCAATCTTGATTTCAGAGGTCAAAAAAATTTTTCAATTTTTTTTCAATCATATAGTGGTGTAGACTAGTCTTTTAAGAACA